GTGGCAAGACCTTTAATTGGATACCAATTACCTTGACCTTTTGACCTTGACGATTTCCGTACTTATGAAAAAACGTTAACCTTGGCTAACTTTCATACTTCAGAATTGTATTTCCAGTGAGTTTAATTTGCATTTAAGAATATTTAATCTTCGCTGTATCGCTATACGGGGGCATCAGTGTTTCACAAACACATCTTGTTGTATGTATCCTACAATCACCTGCGCATAGTGTTTATGTCTCCCAGCTAAATGGATAATCAAGGTTGTGTTCTGGACCACGATCAATTTTTATAACAGAAACAAGGTACTGACAAATACCTACTGACATGATTCCAATTTATTGTTTGACCATTTTGAGTAAGGATTACTCTGTTTATCTAATGTATGCCGAGGATTCTTGGCGTATATCAAGTAGACGGTGGATGCTGACAACTCTTGGGCTTCTTATTCAATCACTAGAATTCCTATTCATTTTTGTATTTGTCAAGTTTTACATTACATATATATATTTGCTTAACCTGAGTGAAAGAAAATGAAGCTAAATAGAATTATGTTACTAGTGTTTAAAGCTTTGGAGCTATATAATTATAATATTTGGGAGTCCACCCCGTCAAAAAAAATTTAAGCGTACCCATAACATTTCCCAACAAAAAAATTAATTAATGAAATGTAAAAGAAAAAAAAATAAAACAAAAATAAACTCAATTTCCCAGATGTGAAAAAAGTATTACTTGGTGGTGGTGTTGGGGTTCACGTTTTCCAGGTTTTGTCTATAGTCAGTTTTTATTTGCTTTATTGTATACTCTTAATAACTCTGCTGGGGAACGGTCCGGATCCCCATCCCCACACATCTAGATCCGCGCATGACAATGATTCCTTGATTTAAAAGAAAAGTCTGAAAAAATATATAACGGACATACGGGTATGTTTTCATATAAAGTTGACGATAAACTCGCAGTCCAACGTGTTGGGTGAATTCTTATTCAAATGTTTTTATTTCAGCTATATTGGGATTTTTAATAGAAATTACGAATGCACATCTAACAAATCAAAATAACGTCATGTGGACAGAGTCAGTAGACGAATCACTTTCTTCTGATTTAGTATCAGGTCAGTCTATTTATCTTGTATCCTTAAGGCAACAGCTTCACATAAAAAACAAGTACAGCTGTACAAGCACATTTAATCAAAGGATGACTGCACTTTTTTGTTTTCATTGTAGGAATGATCAACAGCTTATCTACAACTCTACTTAATCACAAAAATTTAAAGTATGGACGTATTTAAGGTGTAAAAATCTCTTTTCATATGGCGGGGGTTAGCTGCAATAATGTAGCCCTCTTCCGATTTTTTTTTTTTTTTACAATTCCACAGCATCTCCGTATTAAATGGTGCAAAAATTTTTTAAATACGAGTGCCTGCAGGCAGAATAAATTGCTTTTACATTCAACTTACCTCTAATAAGACGAAATTGTTATTCACTGTCGACAATATTGCCCGTTAAACGCGAAAAACATGTAAAATAAATCCATGAAATCTGTATACATGTATTTACTTTTCGCTTAACTCAGCAGCCATGACAGTTCACGCGTGACGTACTGAGACTTGCGCTTGAAATTTAGAAAAACTCAGTAAAGCAAATGTCGATATTTATAGCGAGCGCAGCGAGCGTCGCGAAGCGACGCTCGCGAAGCGAGCTCAATAGACTAACGTGTAAGAACAGAGGAAATTCGGATTGAAATCTGTACATACGTCAGCCAAATTTCTCTGTGCAACATTCCCAGAATTCCTGCACTACCCAATGTCCTTTGCGCGAATATTGCCGAATAAATAAATAAATAATAACGTAAAGCATATATATCAGACTTTCAGTTTGTAGAAATCTTTCAAAGAAACAAGAAATAACTCTGCAATGTTTTTCGACAAAAATTGCACTAGTTCTATAGTTTCAAACAGACGCTCGGCTGTCTCCGTAAGCTCCGACGAGTTTTGTGACGTCGTATGACGTCACAGCTAGTCGAGATGTCTCGTGCGGCTTGACGTTCGAAGTGGCTGATCTCAAGTGTTTTTAATGGTACAACTGCGCTCGCCCCAACGGTCACACCGTAAAACATATTAGCGAGCGCAGCGAGCGTCGCGAAGCGACGCTCGCGAAGCGAGCTCAATAGACTAACGTGTAAGAACAGAGGAAATTCGGATTGAAATCTGTACATACGTCAGCCAAATTTCTCTGTGCAACATTCCCAGAATTCCTGCACTACCCAATGTCCTTTGCGCGAATATTGCCGAATAAATAAATAAATAATAACGTAAAGCATATATCAGACTTTCAGCTTGTAGAAATCTTTCAAAGAAACAAGAAATAACTCTGCAATGTTTTTCGACAAAAATTGCACTAGCTCTATAGTTTCAAACAGACGCTCGGCTGTCTCCGTAAGCTCCGACGAGCTTTGTGACGTCGTATGACGTCACAGCTACATGTAGTCGAGATATCTCGTGCGGCTTGACGTTCGAAGTGGCTGATCTCAAGTGTTTTTGATGGTACAACTGCGCTCGCCCCAACGGTCACACCGTAAAACATATTAAATAATTGTGATAAATAGTAACACTAAACATCGATAAATAAAATCATTCCATGTGTCATTTTTTCGTAAACAGCGATATTTAGGCTTAGAATAAGGTAATTCCAAAGAAATCCGCTCCCTATAGATCTTTAATCTCATTAGCTGTTTCAAAAAAAAAAACTGTCAAGGTCAGTAAACATGGCGGAAAATTTAAGTTGAGATGTTGACATACACGAAAAATACGGATATATGGATTGTTCTCTACATTTTTTGGATCGATTTATGTCTGGGATAACTACATTTTTGGAAGTCCAGGTACACATAAGGTAAGACATAATATGTTTTACGGTGTGACCGTTGAGGCGAGCGCAGTTGTACCATGAAAAACACTCTAAAAATTGATCAGCCACTTCAAACATCAAGCCGCACGAGACTAGCTGTGACGTCACACGACGTCACGGAGCTCGTCGGAGCTTACGGAGACAGCCGAGCGTCTGTTTGAAACTACAGACCTAGTGCAATTTTGGTTGGAAAACTTTGTAGAGTTATTTTTTGTTTCTTTGAAAGATTTCCACACTGATCTAGCCTTTATGCTTTACGTTATTATTTATTTATAAAAAGGACATTGGGTAGTGCAGGAATTCTGGGAATGTTGCACAGAGAAATTTGGCTGACGTATGTACAGATTTCAATCCGAATTTCCTCTGTTCTTACACGTTAGTCTATTGAGCTCGCTTCGCGACGCTCGCTGCGCTCGCTATAAATAAAATAGCCGAAATCCGTGTGAGAGTGAATCGCTCCCGCTTTGCACCAGTACGGAGATCCTAAGAAGTTGTAGCCCCCCCCCCCCCCAACAAAAAAAGGGGAGAGGGCTACATTATTGCAGCTAGGCGGGGGTCAACACAATTTCTTCAATCTCCGTACGATAATGAGGACGCTCACTTTTTTTCATTGACTTTATTCATAGTCAGCGCATGTTTTTCTATTGTTCTCCTTTTAACAGTAGTTGTATATATGCATTAGTAATGTTGTGTTAAAAGGAGAACAGTAGACAAACATGCGCTCATAGTTTAAAAGAGAAAAAAACTGCTTCTTCTTACACTTGCTCTCTCTATTGTAACCAAGGGCAGGAACACGTTGAATATTATAATCTTTCCTCGGGTAATTTTGTGAATAATAAATTCCGTCACGTGACTTTTAGGTGACATGTTTTGGGCTAACTAGGACATTGAGTTTGAACACGTTACAAGTAGAGCTTTTTAAAAAAGCTTACCGTCTTTAGCAACAATCTTAAACAGTGAACTGATCTACAACTATCAGGCCGTATAATTCTTTTGAATTTCTTGATTTTGTATTTCTACATTAGCTTTTTACTGGTATTAGCGCTACCACGGTTGTCGCTCGGTCATCTCCGTAAACTGGCCCAGAGCTTTCGGCAAACCTCGGCTGATTCCATTCCCTTCTTCAAACAAGAAAGGGGAAAAGAATAATAACAAATTGTAAAGCCTGCAAGCAATTAAAATCAAATTTTACTTATAATGAAATTAAAGAGATCTTTTTATTTATTGCTATACAAAAAATCATGTTATTAGGAATTAATTACTGCTGATTTTGTTGTTCGTTTTGTCATTTTTATAAGATTGAAAATCTTGCAAAATTGTTAAGTCGTACGAAAATTAGATCATCAGAAAGTTATCTCCCTTGCCTTGAACAGCATTTCAACCAATGAAATAATTGAAAATTTTCTCATCATTCATTTTCTACCAATCACTAAAAAGAGGAAGTGCATAGTCCGAAGACTGTAAAAATCTTCAACTATACAATACCGTCTTCCAAGGAAGACGGTAATAACAGTCGGCCCTTGATTTAAAATATTCTTTACTTACACGGATGGTCTCATACGTGTTAAACCTTAGTAAATAATGTACTTGTGCCATATAAAATAAATAGGAAGATGGAAAATAAAGATCTCGTATTTTTTGATACGTCATTGTTATTTATCCAGTCTTAATTTTAACTCATTCTTACGATTTAAGCCCCACCTTTCATACATAATTATATTATGTTCAATCAGGGGCAGATAACTGTGTACATTATCTGTATTTGGAAAACCTTTAGGACAAAAACATGAAATTAAATATTGTATTGCAGTCTAAAATTGATTTTAACATTTAAATTGGATGTCAAATTGACGGACTTCTGTAGTGAATATTTAAAAGTGAAACAAGGTTAAGATTTAAAAGCAACAGGAGCGACTGAAAAAAGACCCAAAAGCACGGCGTTAAGCGCAGTCATCCTTTCTCTAAAAGAAAGTCAAATGAAATCCTAAAAAGAAATTAAAAGCATTTATACAAAATTTCGAATGTCATTTTCTATAAAACAGAAACAAAGAGTTTTCCAGCGTTCCCGACCTTAAGGCCACGAGCGGCAGAAATCATGAGTGATCACGATTCTCTAAGTAGTGGTACACCTCCTACAACAGCATCATCAACTGTAACTACGTCTCCTACATCAAAAACAAGTGATGCTTCGTCGTCTACAACAGCATCACCAACTGTATCTACAACATCTCCTACAACAAAATCAAGTGATGCTTCGTCTTCTTCAACAGCATCACCAACTGTATTAACAACAACTCCTACAACAAAAACAAGTGATGCTTCGTCTTCTACAACAGCATCATCAACTGTATCTACAACATCTTCTACAACAAAATCAAGTGATGCTTCGTCTTTTTCAACAGCATCACCAACTGTATTTACAACAACTCCTACAACAAAATCAAGTGATGGTTCGTCTTCTACAACAGCATCACCAACTGTATCTACAACATCTTCTACAACAAAAACAAGTGATGCTTCGTCTTCTTCAACAGCATCACCAACTGTATTTACAACAACTCCTACAACAAAATCAAGTGATGCTTTGTCTTCTACAACAGCATCATCAACTGTATCTACAACATCTCCTTCAACAAAATCAAGTGATTCTTCGTCTTCTACAACAGCATTACCGACTATATCTACAACATCTCCTACAACAAAATCAAGTGATGCTTCGTCTTCTACAACAGCATCACCGACTATATCTACAATAACTCCTACAACAAAATCAAGTGATGTTTCGTCCTCTACAACAGCATCACCAACTGTATTTACAACAACTCCTACAATAAAATCAAGTGATGCTTCGTCTTCTACAACAGCATCTCCAACTGTATCGACAACATCCCTTACAACAAAAACAAGTGATGCTTCGTTTTCTACAACAGCATCACCAACTGTATCTACAACATCTCCTACAACAAAATCAAGTGATGCTTCGTCTTCTACAACAACATCATCCACTGTATCTACAACATCTCCTACAACAAAATCAAGTGATGCTTCGTCTTCTACAACAGCATCACCAACTGTATCTACAACATCTCCTACAACAAAATCAAGTGATGCCTCGTCTTCTACAACAGCATCATCCACTGTATCTACAACATCTCCTACAACAAAAACAAGTGATGCTTCGTCTTCTACAACAACATCATCCACTGCATCTACAACATCTCCAACAACAAAATCAAGTGATTCTTCGTCTGCTACAACAGCATCATCCACTGCATCTACAACATCTCCTACAACAAAATCAAGTGATGCTTCGTCTTCTACAACAGCATCACCAACTGTATCTACAACATCTCCTACAACAAAATCAAGTGATGCCTCGTCTTCTACAACAGCATCATCCACTGTATCTACAACATCTTCTACAACAAAAACAAGTGATGCTTCGTCTTCTACAACAACATCATCCACTGCATCTACAACATCTCCAACAACAAAATCAAGTGATTCTTCGTCTGCTACAACAGCATCATCAACTGTATCTACAACAACTACTACAACAAAATCAAGTGATGCTTCGTTTTCTACAACAGCATCACCAACTGTATCTACAACATCTCCTACAACAAAATCAAGTGATGGTTCGTCTTCTACAACAGCATCATCAACTGTATCTACAACAACTCCTACAACAAAATCAAGTGATAGTTCGTCTTCTACAACAGCATCATCAACAGTATCTACAACATCTTCTACAACAAAATCAAGTGATGCTTCGTCTTCTTCAACAGCATCATCAACTGTATTTACAACATCTTCTACAACAAAATCAAGTGATGCTTCGTCTTCTTCAACAGCATCACCAACTGTATTTACAACAACTCCTACAACAAAATCAAGTGATGCTTCGTCTTCTACAACAGCATCATCCACTGTATCTACAACATCTCCTACAACAAAATCAAGTGATGCTTCGTCTTCTACAACAACATCATCCACTGCATCTACAACATCTCCAACAACAAAATCAAGTGATTCTTCGTCTGCTACAACAGCATCATCAACTGTATCTACAACATCTCCAACAACAAAATCAAGTGATGCTTCATTTTCTACAACAGCATCATCAACTGCATCTACATCTTATACAATAAAAACAAGTGATGCTTCCTCTCCTATAACAAATACAAGTGATGATTTCACAAAAGGTGAAACAACAACTCTAACAGTAGTAACAACAAGTGATACTATATCTCAAGGAGGTCCTGGGAATAACGAATTTCCCGTAGAACCCATCATTGGTAAGATTTAATTTTTTTCAGACGAAGTCTTCTAATAGACTTAGAAGACTTAATAATAAAATTCTTTTTAGAAAACCCGGATAGGTTTTAATTTTAGATTCATTAAAATATGAAGATTTTTTTTTTTTTTTTTTTTTTTTTTTTTTTGATTATGACATTATGACACATTTGCAAACAAAAACAAATTTTGTCTAAAACTTGTTTTTTCTTCATCGGCCGGAAATATTAAAATAAAAAAGAACACTTTTTAGATGAACTTTATACTTATTTTTTCTAGTTGCAGGAGCAGTTTTCCAGATTCATTTCATTTTTATGTTTAGCGGTAACGTTTTTGGTGATCCAAACTTCACGGAATCCTTGGAAGATCAGGTACATGTTGTTTTGATATAGTAGGGTCTATGTATGGCAAGCCCTTTTACTGTTTATTTGTGAAATAAAAATTTTCTTTCAATAAGAGAGATATCTCTCTAGCAAAGAAATATATCTTTTTAGCTTAGAGAGATATCTCTTTAAACAAAACAGATTTCTTTTTTTATTGAGAGAGATATCTCTTTTACTAAGAGAGATATCTCTTTTTTCTCAGAGAGATATCTTTATAAGCTAGAGAGATATCTCTTTAATCGAGAGAGATTTCTCTTTAAGCGAGAGAGATATCTCTTTAACCAGGTTAAAAGAGATATCTGTTTTAATTAGAGAGATATTGCTTAAAAGATTTTCAAAAAGAGATATCTTTCTGAGCTAAAGAGATATCTCGTAAAATGAAAGAGATATCTCTTTTCCAGTCATCCTTAAATTAAAATGATTAGTTCTCCCTTTTAAAACAAAAGCGAAACAGGAAGTAAAGTGTTGTGGAATAATTTCGCTGTTATAAAAAAAAAGACTTCGAGGAGCATGCAATACCCAGAATAATATATGTGCTATGTAGACAAAAATGCTATAAATCCCTTGTTTAAAACAACAAACAATAATGGCAACTTCGTTGATAAAAATGCTAAAACTTTATTATTCAGGAAAACGAAAGTAAGCATAAAATTTCAGATGCAATGGATCAAATTTTTTCATCTTATGAAATATCAAATATTACTAATTTGAAATCTAGACAACACTGCATTACTTGTCTTGTTTAGTAAAGCTATAATGTAGAAAATCATGAATATGTCGAAGTGTAAAAATACTTTAATGTACTTCCATGAATAAAATGCTTATTTCTATGGCAAGCCCTTTTGCTATTTATTCGGAAAATAAATTTTATCTGAAAATTACAGAGAGATATCTCTTACAAAATAGAGATATCTCCCAACTTAAAGAGATATCTCTTATTTTTAAGAGATATCTCTATAAGAAAGAGATATCTCTTAAAGTTAGAGAGATATTTTTTATACTTAGAGAGATATCTCTTTTTATAAGAGAGATATCTCTTCCACTTAAACAGATATCTCTTTCTCCTTGAGAAATATCTCTTGTGAAAAGTGATATCTCTGAACGTTAAAGAGATAGATCTTTCACCTGGAGAGATATCTCTTTCACCTAGAGAGATATCTTTCCAAGTTAATGAGATATCTCTTAAAGTAAAAGAGATACCTCTCTAACTTTACCTTAAGAGATATCTCTCAAAGTGAAAGAGATATCTTTCAAAAGTGTCTACAAGAGATATCTCTCAAGCTAAAAGAGATATCTCTTTATTGCGAAGAAATATCTCTCTTCATTATTTTTATGTAAATTCCTTTTGAAATGACTTCTCTCTTTACCGGAAGTAGGCTTTTTATTCATGGAAGTACATAAAAGAATTTTTAAATTTCGATATATTCATGATATTCTACATTACTATAGCTTTATTAAACATGAAAACTAATTCAGTGTTGTCTAAAGTAGATTTCAAAAGAGTAATAGTTGATTATTTCATAAGCTGAGAAAATTCGGTCCATTGTATTTGAGATTTTATGCTTACTTTCGTTTTCTTGAATATTAATCTTTAAGCATATTTATCAACGAATTTGCCAATGTAATTTATGGTTTCAAACAAGGGATTTAAAGTATTTCTGTCCACATCGTACATCTATTATTCTGGGTATTGCATGCTCAGTCTTTTTTCCTCCATTAGCGAAATTATTCGAGAGACTTTACTTCTTGTTTCGCTTTCGTTTCAGGGGCGGATTCATGAATTGAAGTGGAGGGGGGCGCAAGACTTAGGCAGGGGGTCTGAGGGCCGCCTTGAGGCCCCCAGTGGGTCCCGGAAGCTCATGGATTCCAGTGGTTTTGTAGGGTAAAAATGAGGTCCTTACAAAACTATGTTTTATGCTAACTTTGACAATTTTAGGGGACACGCGCCAGGTGCGCCCCCCCCCCCCTTAAATCCGCCACTGCGTTTGAAAGGGGAGAATTAATTATTTTATTTTAAGGATGACTGGAAAAGAGATATCTCTTTCATAAAAAGAGATATCCCTAGCTTAGAAAGATATCTCTTTTTGGAAATCTAAAGAGATATCGCTCTAACAAAGAAAGATATCTCTTTTAACCTTGTTGAAGAGATATCTCTTCGCTTTAAGAGATATCTCTCTCGCTTAAAGAGACATCTCTCTAGCTTATGTCTGTCTCTCACAAAAAGAGATATCTCTTTGCTTAAAGAGATATCTCTCTAAAGTATAAAGATATCTCTGTTAGTGAAAGAGATATCTCTATAAGCTAAAGAGATATCTCTCTATGCTAAAGAGATATCTCTTACGTTGAAAGAAAAAATATTTTACGAATAAATAGTAAAAGGGCTTGCCATATATTTCGGTAAAGGGAGAAGTCATTTCAAATGGAATCTAAATAAAAATAATGAAAGGGATATCTCTTTGCAATAAAGAGATATCTCTTTTTGCGTGAGAGATATCTCTTTTAGACACTTTTGAAAGATATCTCTTTAACTTTGAGAGATATCTCTTAAGATAAACTAAGAGAGATATCTCTTTCACTTTAAGAGATATCTCTTTAACTTAGAAAGATTTCTCCAAAAGTGAAAGAGATATCTCTCTAAGTGAAAGAGATATCTATTTCTCTCTGAGAGATCTCTTTTCACAAAAAAGATATCTTTCGGGGAGAAAGCGATATCTCTTTCACCTAGAGAAATATATCTCTTATAAAAAGAGATATCTCCTTCTCATAGAGATATCTCTTGAAAATGAGAGATATCTCTTAAAGTTGGGAGATATCTCTATTTTTTAAATAGATGTCTCTCTAAAGTGAGAGATATCTTTGTATTTTTAAGATAAAATTTATTTTCCGAATAAATTGCAAAAGGGTTTGCCATACCTATCACTGATAATATCTGTGATAACACAGTTGATTATAAGGCATACAAATAATGCAAAGGAAGTATGAATTTATGTATGAATTCTTTATAGATGAAAGAATATATATTCCTTGGGTTCGAAGACGTGATAGATGATATTAGGTAACTCATTGATATATTTCACAGTGACAATTCATACGTTCGAATAGATTATTTTTGATATATTTACTATACACGCTTAGGTTTTAATATTTCATAATCACAGATTAACGATTTTCGTATTGCACTTTTTGCACTTTGTAGAATTTCTCCATTAACAAACCCCAGGAGGAGGGAAAAACGAAATAGACATCTTATAGATGATAACAGCAATACTGATGGAAACCAGACTTTAGAGTATGCATAGTTTTTTTTGTGTTTGGCCAAAATCCACTCTACCTTAATATTTGACATATATTTTTGAAAAAAATATGTACTGCATACTTCTCTAAAATCCGACATTTTTTATATCCCCTTTCTTCTGTAGACAAAGGGTAAATACATCTGTTAAAATAGACGTTGACATTAGCGTGGCAGACTTGAGAGGTAAACAACTGAGTTTGGTAAATCTTGGACAGGCAGTGACAGACAGCATACAATCCAATCTGACCAAACTGAATACAACTGCTGGAAAAGTCTTAAATGACCTGGATGACATTATATCAAGTCTACGCAACCAAACAGAAGGTTCTCTCTCTCTCCCTTTCTTTCTCTCTTTATGACTGTGAGTCTGTGCAGGTGTTTATGTTTGTGTATGAACTGATTCACTTTAACTTCCATAACGTCTTTTACAAGGTAAAACTGAGTGTGATGCTATTCCTGTTGAAAAACTTTGTTTTCCGGGATACGACTGTACGCCTACTGCATCAAACTACACCGCTGAATGTGTCCATAAATGTACCTCTACGGGATTGACCTGTAGGAACAATGGACACTGTTATTTTGACACCGTAGTCCAGCAGACTGCTTGCAGGTTTTTGTTTTTGGCAGCATCCTGTTTTGAAATCATTTAACATTTTTTGCAACAGTCTTAAGATTCTGGTGTACGAGTGAAAACTTCCATGAATCTGAATGCTTATTTTGTTATGATGACTTTCTCTTGCCTCCTTTGATTATTTATTTGATTCTTGTTAAACAGTTGTCAAAAGAGTTTAATGACGATTTATTACGGACCCGAATGTGAAGAGAGGACTGGGAGATTTGAATACGTTGTTGGCCTGTCTGTCGGTATCGTTGGAGGATTGGTTCTCATAATTCTACTTACAGTCTGCTGCAGACGTATCTCTAAGCACGAAAAGACTGACAGGTAACAAAAATGTTTCTATGTTCTCTCCTTCACATGCATTAAAATTATCTTATGTTGTGGTATTGAACAAACCAGAATAATTTACTTGTGTTCACATTTAATAAAAGAACCATTCCACAAAGATGTACTGTTTTGTTTTTAGGGGAAAATTTGCAGAATGTGAAACAGATGTTTTAAAGAATAGATTTGAACTTAATGAGCTGAATTCCGAGATATCCATGGTAGAATATCCAGAGCCATACAAATATTCTGGAGCTCTAGGTGTTACAAACAAGGTATACTAGTCTTCTTATTGTGTTAGTTTTCAGGAAATTGCTATACAAAACATGGATAGAATACTGTAGAAATAGTTTGTTTCTTAGGTGTATGAGCAATTTGGACGTCAAAGAAAGTATATTTCTGATATGTACGTACCAAAGAAAACACTGTCTTTCCCCCAAAGTCCTTATTTGAGTGATCCAGGGGCAGTAGGAAATATTGGTACATTTAAAGATGTGAGTAGGAACAAGTTGTCAACAATGCTGTCAATGCTCTGAGGAGTTCCTCATAATGGCATACATTTGATACTTTAACACTGAAATTTTCTTATTTCAAGTGAAGGTTTTATTAATTTCCCAGACAATTTCCTATTTAGAGATGAATTATTTTGTAGGATGAGAGTCTTATTATTTTGCATTATCATTGTGTTTTTAACTTTTTATGTGTAATTTCAGTTCTCTATAAAGAGGCCTCAAGTTTTCAATAATCCAGTGAATGACCTGGACAGTCCATACTACAGACCGCAGACACAACAACGTCCCTATAGCCAGATATAGCAGTACATACCGTAATTTTACATAGAAAAATATGTCAGATAGAGGTATTTTTGTCTAACCCAAATTATGGGGATTCTTGAAATTTGCAGAAATAAAATCTAATAATCAAATGGGGAAAATTTAAAAATTCTTAATTTAAATGTTATTTTAAATAGCGACTTCGTTAAACTTAGCCATACTTTCTTAATGAGATCATAGGCAGGGGAAGAGCCTCGGTTAACATCCATACGCTCCTTATATACCGGTACCTCGGTTACGCGGCACCAAGTCAAAAGTATCTCGCTATGAACCTCTAGCATGCTGCAGTAGGGAAAACCGTTACAAAAATGTATTAAGATGGGCAACCGATTTAGTTTTTAGACACAGATGCGTACTTGAACTGCATGTTTTGAACGGTATGCATGATTACAGTCTTGGATAATAAAGTTTTATAAAATCTTTGTATATCAGCGTGCTTAAGTTATACACATACATGTATTACGACGCATCCGTCGATCAAAAAAGTGATTATATTTTTGTATGTATTTTTAACGAACTTAATGAACAACATTCATGCAATCATTAAAGTATCAATGAAAAAATATCTTCTATATTTTCTGTATTCTATTGAATCCATCAGAAAAATGTTAATTCATTATAATCAGTGACCATGAAGTCAACCTCAACAGAAATTTTGAAGTTGTTGATTACGTCCTATTGCAAAAACTATGCAAAGTTGAAATGTTAATATAATTGCATAAATTGAAAATAACTTTCGTGTCGCATATCAAAGGACACATTAGTGATGATTTGAATAAAAGCATAAAATCAAATATTATAATTAAGTACATGTATTTGAAAAAAATTAAATAATATCTATGATTAGATATATCATATAAAATATAAATATTATTACTCCATAAATATATTTCTATAGTTCTAATTACATGTACAGGATCTGCTATTTCTAATTCTACATCTGACCTTAATCTTAATTATACTTGACAAATTATAGACTCACTTTTTCTGAGGCATTTTTTCTGTATAGAATTTTCAAATCCCTACGTATACTTTATGACTTTTGTGAATAAACCCTTGTTTTCTATACATATATCTTGTCATTTACTGAATAAAAACATTATTTGTTCTTATACAAGTGTTCTGTCTTTGCTTACAGGGGCAAGAAGCAACGTTATATGAACTAAGGAGCATATAAACCTTTTAAAATAATTCACCCCGCATCTTACTGATTGTCTTTACAATTTTACACATGAAAACTTATTTGATATACAAAGTTGTCGAGATATTCGTCTTCAAACAACTATACAATAAGAAGAAAATTTTCCATGTTGCCAATAATTCAACATTTATATATTTATATACCCCTGCTTGAAAAGTGAGAGGGTATGTAGCAATTAGGATGTCCATCTGTCTGTCTGTACGTCCGTCCGTCTGCTACGCTTTGGAGTACCCATCTCGTATCCGCAACTCCTCTAATACCACAGAATGAAATTTGATGAGATTTTCACAGAATCTTTATTACATACCGGTCAGCAGGGGATGCTCACTCCTCCATGGCACCTGATCCCACCTCTGATGTTTTGGAGGTCCGTGTTTGCTCTGCTCCTATTTTTGTATCGTTTTATGGACTTTGATATTGAATATATACTGTTCGTTATCTTCATGTCTTTCATTGCATATTATTCCTGAAACAATAATAAAGCACTATACAGAAACTCATTTTTTGATTTAGAAAACAATGTTACTAGAATATTTACGACTGCATCTTCATCTAAACTACTTGGATTGAACCTTGTAGATTTAGGGTAGATGAGATCTATGTCTTGTATCCCACCGGTCCCGGACAGGAAGTCCAACACTAATGTAGATTTATCGTCGTGTCTCTTGCAAAAATGTTTAAAAATTTTAAAACGTGTGAAAGGAATGAAATTGTTGTACTGATATAGAGCTATTTATTAATTCTATAAGTTGAAAGTGAAATTAGAAATACCGGAGGCAAAGATTCATAACATTTTTTAAAATGATAGCAGAAACAATTTTTCCAGAATATATTTTATCGATTCTCAGACGACGATTGTTAAGTGCTACTAAGTAAATAAATTTATTGTAAACTACTATTTCACCTAAATTTTTTAATACCCTCATGGCCTCGTCTACAACAGAGAACAGTTGAAAAGACTACGACAATCAGTAGCAGTACAAAGCCTAGGGTACGTGAATCCTATCACCGTCGTTAACTTCTTAATTTGCCCCGTAATATAGTGACGGCAAAGAGGATCGACAACTGTTGGTGTAAATATTTTCCAGTATTTTTTTATAAATATATTTTCGTAGTCTCAAAGACTAGATGAATGAACTCTCACATCTTTACGATCAAACGAGGATTGTTCGAAATGTTCGTGGACGATGTCAATCTTCGTTATACTACTTTCAAGAAATTTAAATAAGCTGATTTCCGAGATGTTATGTCGAATATTATTAAAAATGTAGCTTGCAAATTTAGTTATTGTCCTGCTTTGTTCCCGAAATGTATGACTGAGATACCAACATCGATTGTAATATATTGCATTGGGATTCACTATAATATGAAAATTAATCAAGTTTCAACATGATGACACATATAGTAATGCAATTAATGGACAGGAGCGTTTTTTTTGCTGAGATAAATGTCGGGCTGACTACGGTCTTTTTCAGATGACTTTCTTCAAATGCTTTATACCCCATATGCATGGTTAGGAATAACATTAAACAGATTGGGGGAAAACGTAAATTCCGCTGTAATAGTGGTATCTCACTATTATAGTGAAATTACGCTATACATGTATTTCCTGTCGTAGATACCCTCAATTTCATCCGATACCATGCAAGGTGTTTGAACCGCAAGTCATGGTGGGTATTAATTAAAATGATCAAAAACTCTCATGCTTGCATGTTTTGAATTTTAATGAATTTTCTACCTTTGCGTTTAATAATGCTAGCACTCTTTTTTATAAACGGAAGTTGCATTTTTAACATATCAACCGATGATTACTGGGTATTGAAGCTTGTTTGAATCTCATTTATCCCTCATTAAAGTGCACAAATTGATGCTTGTTACAATTGTCAACTCGGACTGGAAAGGATTTATGGAATTAAACAAGAAAAAGGCTATTTCTGTCTGCATGGTTACGGGTACGGAGGCCCATTAGAGTAAACGTAAAGACCCATTATTATCGGTCGCCGCTGCTACGGCCGATCTTCTTGTGGTTGTGTAAGATAGTGCACATGGGAAGTGAGAAGTTATTTTTGTAATACAGTAAAATAATTCTTCATTGATAACATGTAGAAAATCATAGGTAAAATCTGCTTTAAATTAAATATTAATTGTTGTTATAATGTTTCAATTTCATTGTGATTTCTCATCAAGATATTTGATAATTTTGACTATATAAAAAGAGTTTACAAAAGGTACTATATAGATATAAAAGGAGATTATGATTTTCAAGATAGTAATGACGTGGTTTAAAGTCCATGGTTAAAAAAAATGAAAAACTCTTCAACTAGTAAAAATTCTTTTGAATATGTTACAGCTGCGAATGATACAAGGAACAACAATTATTAGAATAATAATTGTATTTATGTATTTAATGCGATAATTTGTTTGGAGGTTTTCGGAAACATTTACGTTGGTTAATTGTGAAAATTCTCAGATCCACGCCTTGCCTAATTGTAATGGAATGTGTAAGGTCACGTGGTCAGCTCAGCGAGTCATTCACACTCGCGCGCTCACCACCGCGCTAACATGAAGCACCTCTATTTTGAAGAAGGCTTTAATGTCAAAGAAGTAAAAATAAATATACAATTGGAGATCAGGACCCATTCTTTGCCGGGAATCCAATTTTGGCGTCATAGAGGTTTCTGGCATGACCTAAACTATCTGGGTCCTGATGGTGTAAATCTGTGCTGCACCCCCTCGCACGACCAACCTATGCGGAAGTTCCTTTGAAGTATAAGGGATGCAGTTATTCAATCGCCAAGCTTATTAAGGCCAGTATAACTTTTTGTCTCATTCTACATGAATTGCACACTGGGGTGCTTATGTTTGTGGTAGGCTACCAAGTTTCAAGGCCATAAGAGAGAATTAATTGCTCTGTCAGTCAGTGCTGTTCGTTAAAGGCTAGCTGATGACTTGATGGCTGTTTGCTGTTAGGCAATAAAATCAGTGTTCGAAATATTTAGAATCATGCATGCATGTTTGGTGAACTTGTTACTGACGAGACATATTCAGGACCAGGTGGCTCATAATGATAATGGTTTCGTCTTATGAAGCAGTTATTTATCTGGGCATTGTTTAGTATTATCTCGTTTCTTTATTGTTTATTCTTTCGTACAATATAGGTAGGAAACTAGAAGTCAAAGTATATATTCTGTCTGATTATTATTAATTACAATCGGTATGACGTTTAGGTCTTATGTACTTATCGTTTGGAAGTAGAGGTACACAGTCAACATATGAACCTACCCACGTGTTAAGCAATAGTACAGAGTAGGCCGCATATAAGTACTCATTGTATGGGAGTCTAGGTGCAAAGTTTATCTGTGCTTACCCATGTTTAACAATGGTACGGAGTAGGCCGCATATAAGTACTCATTGTATGGGAGTCTAGGTGCAAAGTTTATCTGTGCTTACCCATGTTTAACAATGGTACGGAGTAGGCCGCATATAAGTACTCATTGTATGGGAGTCTAGGTGCAAAGTTTATCTGTGCTTACCCATGTTTAACAATGGTACGGAGTAGGCCGCATATAAGTACTCATTGTATGGGAGTCTAGGTGCAAAGTTTATCTGTGCCTACCCATGTTTAACAATGGTACGGAGTAGGCCGCATATATGTACTCAGTGTATGGGAGTCTAGGTGCAAAGTTTATCTGTGCCTACCCATGTTTAACAATGGTACGGAGTAGGCCGCATATATGTACTCATTGTATGGGAGTCTAGGTGCAAAGTTTATCTGTGCTTA